GACCCCTCGGATTGAACCCAGAGGACGATAGAGGCTATGCTCCCTCCGTAAAGAAAAAAAGGCACGGGGACAACGGGACAGGAAAGTTCGGACGAAAGGGCTACCCCTTTGGTCTCTGGAGGGTAGGTAAGATCGTGCTCCCCAAAGAAAGCACGGGAGGAAGGAATGGGGCGGAAGAAGGAAGGAAGGGGGAGAAACAAAAAAACAGGGACGGGAAGGAACGGGGGAGGGACGAACAGCGAGAGACCCCTCTCGACTCCTCGGACAGAACCCAGGAGTCAAAAGCGACCTTGTTCTCTCCTTGTGGGGAGAACACAAGCTCGCGGGACGGAGGAACAGGGGCAGCAAAGGGACAGGAACAGAGCAAGGGTAAAAAACCTCCTTTCAGCCCCTCGGACAACGCCCAAGGACCAACAGGGGGAAGGGTGCTCCCCCACACGGAGGGAACAGAAAGCGAGTGGGGAGGGGGGAGGGAGAAAGCCAGTTTTGGGGGGGGGGGGCGACCACCTTTCGACCTGCGTGCACCACAGCTTGCCGAAGGCTGTGGGAGCGGCTGGTCTGGGGTGGCCGGTGGGATGCCGCGTATGGGGTCCCCGGGAAGCATGGCCCAGTGGCCCCTGTGCCTCCCTTCGCCTTGACGCCCGTGGCATGCTGGGTTGGTGTGGCCTCTGCGGGAGAGGACCTCGGTGTTGACAATGTCTGGAGAAGAAGGGAGGAGAAGAGGAAGAGGGCGGGCTTTTATAGCCGTGGGGAGGAGTGCAAGCCCTTCTGCTCAGGTTTCCCCGACGAGTTAAGGTTAATAGCCTATGGGTGTCGGCGTCACGTGTGTTGTGTGTTTTCAGAGATGATCTTTGTGAAGCAAGGTAAAGAACAGAGCACGTAGAGAATGTGTTGTATGGACTGGTGGATAGAAACAGGGAGAGAGAGCGGAGGCCCTCTCTTTCCGAGTATGTAGTTACAGTGTCGAGGCCAGACTCCCTCTAATACAAAAGTACAGATGCAGTTTGGAAATAAGCGGAGACAAGTCTAGCTAATGAGGACACCGTGTCTGTTGGTCACAACTACACCTCTCTGTCTGGCTTTCTTCTCTCTCATCATCAATGCGTGTAATCACTTCGAGCTATGCTTTAATTGCTTTATCGAGCACTCGACAAAAAGCCTTGCACATCTTATTAGCTGAACGATTACAGGTCTCTTCCTAAAACACCTAAATATTCTATCCAACCCGCTGAAAATTCTTCTCAACTCACTTAGCTAAAAACTCTAGCACGGAGGGCGTAGTTGTACATCTTGCTCTGGGCCTGCGCAAGCGTCATGGGAGGTCACTCGGTTCTGACAGTGACATGGAGTAGTAGAGCCATCTGTCTTATACATGTCACAGATTGCGCACATCGGAAATACTTTCATAAGGTATCTGCTCCTGGAATGCACGAAAATGCATATATGACGGGTTATGTGCTGTCGTTATCAGTGCTACAGGCATCTAGCGGGCTCGAGAGATACCTGCAGGCTGATCATTGGCCTTACTACTAACGTTACGAATTAGATACAGGCACCCGCCAGAATCCTCAACCTCGCTCGTCAGGGGAAATCTCCTGACACGAAAAACACTCAACGGCCATCCAAAACACCGATACGCACCAAAGTCATCACCGCTCATCAGGTGTCGCATGTCGTTGACAGACCCCGCGCAGCAATCCCTGCAGGCAATCAATCATAGTTTTGACATGTTGCTTATCTTATCGGCTGATCCTCCTCTTATCGGCGAGCTGCAGCTGTCTTTCCCCTCCTTTCCTTGACATCCATCGTTGATTCCAACGTCGTCCCTTGGATCACGGACTACGACTCCAGAACCTCACGAGTCTGCACCCATATCAATTCATTCAGAATGCATTTGGTTCCCCGCGAGGTATGAGATATCTATCTACACAGTGCCCTCCAATTGAATTGAAGCCATAGCTAACCCTCCCCCCAGCTCGACAAGCTCCTCCTCTCCCAGGTCGGCTACCTCGCTCAGAAGCGCCTCGCCCGCGGCGTCCGCCTCAACCAGACCGAAGCCACGGCCCTCATCGCCAACAACATCCAAGAGCTCATCCGCGATGGCACACACACCGTCGCTGCGCTCATGAACGCCGGCAAGCAGATGCTCGGCCGCCGGCACGTCCTCCCCCCCGTTGCCGCCGCCCTGGCGGAGATCCAGGTCGAGGGCACCTTCCACGACGGCACCTACCTCGTGACCATCCACAACCCGATTGCCTCGGACGACGGAAACATCGAGAAAGCGCTCTACGGCTCCTTCCTCCCCATCCCCGACGAGTCCCTCTTCCCACCCATCACATCGACCACTGAATACGAGGCTATCCGCCAGCCCGGCGCCGTTGTGGCCGTCAAGGGCTGCATCGAGCTCAACCCGGGCCGCCGCAAGGCCCGTCTGCGCATCGTCAACAAGGGCGACCGCCCCGTGCAGGTTGGCAGCCACTACCACCTCATCGAGGCCAACCCGCTCCTCGAGTTCGACCGCATCCAGGCCTACGGCTACCGCCTCGACATCGCGGCCGGCACGGCCGTACGCTTCGAGCCCGGCGACTGCAAGACCGTCACCATCGTCGAGATTGGCGGCAACATGATCATCCAGGGCGGCAGCCGCATCGCCAGCGGCGTCGTCGACCGCAGCCGTGTCAACATTGCCGGCATCGTTAGCAACCTCGCCAAGATGGGCTTTGCCCACATCGACGCGCCGATGGACAAGCGAGCAGTGCTCCCAACGACGATGGAGCGCGAGGCATACGCCGCCATGTTCGGCCCCACGACGGGAGACCTCGTCCGCCTCGGCGACACAGAGCTCTTCATCAAGGTCGAGAAGGACTACACCACCTACGGCGACGAGTGCAAGTTCGGCGGCGGCAAGACCCTCCGCGAAGGCATGGGGCAGGCGTCCGGCCGCTCCGACCGCGAGACCGCCGACCTCATCATCACAAACGCGCTCATCGTCGACTACACGGGCATCTACAAAGCCGACATCGGGGTCAAGAACGGGCACATCGTCGGCATCGGCAAGTCCGGCAACCCGGACATCATGGACAACGTCGACCGCGCCCTCATCGTCGGCAGCAACACGGACGTCATCGCCGGCGAGGGCAAAATCATCACCTACGGCGGCCATGACACCCACATCCACTACATCTGCCCGCAGCAAGCGGCCGAAGCCCTCTCCTCCGGCGTCACGTCCATGCTCGGCGGCGGCACCGGGCCCAGCACCGGCACAAACGCCACAACCTGCACCCCCAGCGCAACCTACATCCGCCAGATGCTGCAGGCCCTCGACGGCCTGCCGCTCAACTTCGGCATCACCGGCAAGGGCAACGACTGCCAGCCGCAAGGCCTCGCCGAGCAGTGCGCCGCCGGCGCCGTCGGCCTCAAGCTCCACGAGGACTGGGGCAGCACGCCCGCGGCCATCGATGCCTGCCTGTCCGTCTGCGACCAGTACGACGTCCAGTGCCTCATCCACACCGACACCCTCAACGAGAGCGGCTTCGTCGAGCAGACCATCGGCGCATTCAAGGGCCGCACCATCCACACCTACCACACCGAGGGCGCGGGCGGCGGCCACGCACCGGACATCATCAGCGTCGTGCAGCACCGCAATGTCCTGCCATCGTCCACCAACCCCACTCGACCATTCACCCGCAACACCCTCGATGAACATCTCGACATGCTGATGGTGTGCCACCACCTGTCGAAGAACATCCCCGAGGACGTGGCCTTCGCCGAGTCTCGTATCAGGGCCGAAACCATCGCCGCAGAAGACGTGCTCCACGACCTCGGCGCGATCTCGATGATGTCCAGCGACTCGCAGGCGATGGGGCGTGTCGGCGAGGTGGTGCTGCGCACGTGGAAGACGGCGAGCAAGAATAAGGTGCAGCGCGGGCCGCTCAAGGAGGATGAAGGGACCGGCGCGGATAACTTTAGGGTCAAGCGGTACATTGCGAAGTACACCGTGAACCCGGCGATTGCGCAGGGGATGAGCCATCTTATTGGTTCCGGTAAGACTCCCCTCTCTCTCTCTGCTCTACAGCTATAGAAATTATGATCAAGAGACAGTACTGAGTGCGTTCTAGTCGAAATTGGCAAACTCGCCGACCTCGTCCTCTGGGACCCCGCGCAATTCGGCGCAAAACCATGCCTAGTGTAAGCCCCTCCTTCTCCCCTCCCCCCTCCCCCCTCCCCCCTCCCCTCCTCCCACACCACAACTAACCCCCCCCCCCCCCCCCCCTCGCAGACTCAAGTCCGGCCTGATCGCCTGGGCCCACATCGGCGACGCCAACGGCTCCATCCCGTCCGTGCAACCCATCATCGGGCGGCCCATGTACGCGCCCCTCGTGCCCAGCACGTCCATCACCTGGGTGTCCGCGGCGTCCCTCGAGTCGGGCACCGTGCAGTCCTACGGCCTCAAGAAGCGCGTCGAGGCCGTGCGCGGGTGCAGGAACATCGGCAAGAAGCACATGAAGCTCAACGACGCCATGCCGGCGATGAGGGTCGACCCGGAGACGTATACGGTGGAGGCGGACGGCGTGGTGTGTACCGCCGAGCCCGTGGATAGGCTGCCGTTGACGCAGGGGTATTATTTGTATTAGTTTTGGGTTTGGTGAGCGGGGGGTTTTTTTGGCTTTGCTTTGGGTTGTTTGGGTTCTTTTCTTTTGGGTGGTGGCTGGTGGGTGGGTGGTTGTGGGTGGGTCATCGGGTGTCACTCGGTGGGTGCGTGTCAGTGATTGGTTATCATGTTGTTTATAGCTATGCGGATAATGAAACCTCCGTAGTGCAAAAGTGACTTCTTTTTCTCACAAGCACATAAAGCTCATAGAACAACACAGTACAGTAATAACAGTAGTAGTAGAAGTAGTAAACATTTGAAAAATCCCATTTCTTTTTTATTCTAACTACTCCGACAAGTCACGCCAAAAACCCCTCTACCCCCTCTACCCCAAAACCCTGCCATCTACTTATTCCTTCCCCTCACTCTCCAACCCCTCCAACACCACCTTCATGACCACCTCCGGATCCGCCCTCTCCACAAACCTCACCCTCTTCTCCCTCGCCTCCAACCCACGGAACTCCACCGGCCTCACGTCCCTCTCAAAATCATACGTCCCCAGCCCCCCCAGCGCCAAATCCACCGCATGGTTAAACTTCGCCGGATGCGCCGTGCTCAGCGAAACATAGTGCACATCCCTCTCACCCTCCTCCTTGGTGCGCTGCACCAGCCTCAGCGACGCAGCAATGCCCACGGCCGTGTGCGGATCAAGCACATACGGCGCCGACGGCGGCTCCGTGAAGATCTTCCTGATGGTCGCGGTGGTGTCCTCGTCGCTGACCCGCTCGGAGCCAAAGTCGCGGCGCGCGGCGTCCAGCACCGCCTGCGAGACGACCGTGGTGCCCACGGCCTTGAGATCGTCCATCCAGCCTTTCACGACGGCGCCGGCCTTGGCATGGTCGTTGCCGGAGGCCTCGCACTCGAGGGCGAGGTACCAGAGGAGGCGCTCGAAGTTGCTGGACACGAGGATGTCCATTGCCGGCGAGAGGGTTTCCTTTACGCCTGCCTCGTGGGCCTTGCTGCCGTCGGCGGGGAGGCCGCCTTGGGCTTCTTCGGAGGGCGGGACGGGCTGCTTCTCGTAGCGGCCGGTCTTGAGGAAGCGGTCGAGGATGTCGTTGCTGTTTGTGGAGATGACGAGGCGGTCGATGGGCAGGCCCATGCGCTTGGCGAAGTAGCCGGCGAGGATGTCGCCGAAGTTGCCGGTGGGGACGACGTAGCGGATCTTGGGGGTTGAGTTGGGGGGGAGGGTGGCGAGGAGGGCGAAGTAGGAGTGGAAGTAGTAGACGATCTGGGCGAGGATGCGGGCCCAGTTGATGGAGTTTACGGCGCCGAGGTTGTGCGTCTTGGAGAGGACGGGGTGGGAGAAGAGGGATTTGACGGCATCCTGGTGGGGTTGTTAGGAACTGAGGAGGTAGAGAAGAGCAGAAGGGAAAGGGGAATTACCTGGCAGTCGTCAAAGGTGCCGCCGACGGCAAGGTTGTGGACGTTTGCGTCGAGGACAGTGGTCATCTGCGCCTCCTGGATGGGGCTCACTCTGCCCTTTGGATGCAGGATGAAAACACTAACATCCTTCTTTCCCCTCAGCCCATAGATGGCCGCACTTCCAGTGTCGCCCGAAGTGGCACCAATGACCGTCAAAGTGTGTCTCTTCTCGCCCTCCTTCTTGCCCGCATTCTTCCTCACCAAAAAGTACTCAAACAGGTTCCCGACAAACTGCAGCGCCACATCCTTGAACGCAAAGGTGGGTCCGTGGAAGAGCTCCAAAATGTGCAGGTTGTCCTCGGGGATGAGGGTCTTGAGCGGGGTGATGTCGGGGTGGCGGAATGTCGAGTACGACTTGTTGATGAGCGTCTTGAGGTCCTCGGCGGGGATCTCGGACGGCGAGATGTACAGCGAGAGAACCTCGTAGGCGAGCTCCTGGAACGAGAGTTTGGACCAGCGGGTCTGCCAGTCGCTGGGCAGAGAGGGGATGGCCTCGGGGATGAAGAGGCCGTTGTCGCTGGCGAGACCCTTCAGCACGGCGGCTTCGAAGGAGAACTGCAGTGTTGGGGCTGCTGGTTAGTCAATTGCGATTGAATTGGCGGGGGAACAGCTAGAAAATTCAAAACATACCCCGGTGGAGCCGCCTCGGGTGCTGAGGTATGTCTGTGAGGCGGTGGGAGCAGCCATTGTATAGTGAATGCAATTCTAGCTGTTATGAAGATATGTATTCCTGATTGGCTGGTGGGGAGTCTAAGGAGAGTGTCGCGGGGAGAGGTTGACTGGCCAGAGGAGAGATAAAAAAGTTTGGCGGGGTTGCGGCGGGGCCCTTTATTTAGTGCTCGATCTGGCTGAGATGCCCCCAACTACATGTAACTACCCAGAATAAGACCCTGAGTTATATGTCAACGGCTTTACTAACCAATCACGAATAATAATAGAGCTCGTGGGGGACGAAGAGCCAGGATGCCGGTCGCTGTGAGGAGGATATCTGCCTGTAAGGTTATTTGTCCGCATGCAGATATTGCAGGGCTAGGGTTGTTGCAATGCCGCAATTCTTACCCATTACGCATTTTAAGCTCAATGTGGCTTGAATAACTCAACAGGGGGGACATTATTTCGCAGCTGGGGGGAACTTTGGAAAGCTGCCTTTAATAGTTGCTGAACATGACTGCAATCCCATAACTCTAGTACAAGTGAGATTTAATTGGGTTGGCTTTAGCACAGGGTTAGGGTTAAAATGAACATATTATGTTGGTAGTCTTCTACCTGGTAAGTACATTACCGCCCGAATGGATAAAAAAATTAAGCCTTATTTTGAGCTCTAAGACGTAGAAAAGCCTTAAATAAGACATATGTCTCAAAAAAGCAAAAAATAAGCCTGTTTTGGGCGAAAGCATGACATTTTGCTCAGCATTATCTCTAAATCAAGCTCTTCTAAGATCTCTTCTGGTATTAGATTTATCGAATAAATAAGAATTAGTAAAATTCGTCAGGACTATAGGCATGCATTTACGGGTGCTAAGGCTGGGTTAGGGTTAGGCACTTAACAAATATTAAACCGTGTTCTTCCATCTGTTCTTTAATACCCTCCCCTCTACCTCTCTGTCACCTCCGTCCCCTCTACCTCTCTGTCACCTCCGTCCCCTCTACCTCTCTATCACCTCCGTCCCCTCTACTCTCCTAGCACCCCCCCCCCCCCCCCCATCTCCTAATCATCAAAAACATAGGCTAACCAGCGAATCTAGCAGCAGCAGCAGCAGCAGCACCGAACCAAGCACCAAATAGAGCACCAAATAGAGCACCAAATAGAGCACCAAATCGAGCATCAAATAAAGCAGCAAATCGAGCATCAAATAGAGCACCTAGTCGAGCACCTAATCGAGCACCCAATTGAGCGAACTAGGTCAATAGGCAGGTAGGCAGGTAGGCAGGTAGGCAGGTAGACAGGTAGGCGGGTTAAATAGATTGTCTTAAATCAATGTACATATTAAATTCAGTATTAATAAAAACTTCATTTCCGAAATTCACTATGGCGAATAAGTGTAAAAGCATACCTATCAGGCTATCATGCTGATCTCACGAATAAACATTATTCAGCCTTATTTTTCAAAAATACCTTAAATAAGACTGATCAAGCTCGTTAAGCCTTAAAATATTTTAAGATTATCAAGACCATAGTCTAATAAGGACCTTAAAAAGAAATAAGAGAAAATCGTCAAAAAAGGCAAATATCATGCTTATATAAGCCTAAAATAAGGCTTAAAAAAAACACCCATTCGGGCGTTAAAGTATTTGATTGATTTGGTTGCTCAAAATGAAGGGGAAGGGGAGGCGGGAAGGTTGAGAGGTTTCTATTTTAAGTACTTTTATGAAATAGCGTATATTGCGCCTAAGTTATTCCTCCGATGGCGGGAAACCAATCAAAGAGACAATTGCAATTTCAGCGCAGGGTACAATCACTATTTTGATTTGCGAGTGATTCTTTAGATGATGACTCGGAACACTGCAAGTCCTTCGCCTCCGGAGCTAAACCATACCAACCAAGCCCCCGTACATACTCTAGAGCGGACAGGATGTTACTTCCTGAGGGTTTGAACCATAGAATATCACTCGACCCTAACGTTGGTGCCAAGTGGCCTTTTTTGCTCACAGATGATCTGGTTGGCAGTAGGTATCGGTGCTTGATATACTGGGCATGAAGGCCACGTACGGCCCTTAAGCTTGACAACAGCTGGGTAACCATGTACACCGACCGGATGAGTCTCATGTTCATCCCCTCACGCTGGTCAAAGCCACTGTTCTCAAACCTCTCTATTCACTCTTTTTATATCTCTATATAACAGAACTAGAAGTAGCGGTCTCGAGTTCTTCCTTACCAGGAACTCTGGAAGTCGATCTATGCCACTGGCCTGCCACGGTTAAAGGAAGTTGATTGGTAGGTAGTTGACTGATCATAAAGTGTCCCTTCTAGTGGTCATTTATAAAAGTACCAGACGTGGTGACGGACAACGAGAAAAACGATAATTTGCTACACAATAGAAACTAACTTTTAGCAATGAATCTAACAAAACTAGAATAAGGAGAATGGTGGTACACTCTAAAAAACAATTCTAAAATACAGAGGAAAAAAAAGCTATCTACGAAATATCTATCTATCTATCTTCACATCCCTGCATCCGCAACCTCCGCAAACCACTGCCTCAACGCCAACGCAAGCACTCCCGGCAACTCTCTGATATCGTTCACCACAAGATAGAACCCGAACGGGAAAGTATCTAGATACCTTTCCATCTTCAACTCCTGTGTGCCGTCTGCACCCGTCTCGAACCTCACTTGCTTCATGTGCAGGATACTCTTATCCCTGACAGAGTCCAAGATGACGAACACAATCATGATCTTCTCCTCCTGCGCTCTCCGGACCAGGCGTTTCAGTGTCTCGTGGTCTTCGCAAACACCGTCGGAAATGATGATCTCTAGTTGCCATAGATCCGCGCTGGAATTGACTTTTGCGGTTTCAAAGATGCCCATGGAAGTGTCGAGGAGGGTTCTGACGTTTGTTTTCAACTGGTCAAACTGGAAGCGCTCAAAGACCTTGACACCGGACTCTGAAGTAAACGGCTGGTCGAATGGATGGATGAGACGAGTGGTTTCTCCAAAAGAAACGATTGATATTTGCCCGACCTCTAGCTGACTAAGTGCTTTTGCAACCAGGGCCACAGTCTCGAATGCGAGTGCCACTGATTCCGATTCTGCCATTGACTTGGAGTCGTCTACAGCGATCATGACTTGGTACTGGCGTTTGCTTGGCTTTGTCCTGCGCATCCAAATCTTGTCCTTCTTGTACTGACTCGCGATGTAAGGGATGATGCGCTTCATGTTGAGACGCTTTCCAGTTCTGAAATCGCCGCGCATCTTGGTTGCAAGAGTTGGCTCAAGGATGAGACGAAGTTGCTCGCAGAGACCCATAGAGAGATCTTTAGTTGACTGTTCGTACTGTTGCCATAGTTGACGCGCTTCCTCTCTTGAACGGGTTGAGCCGAATTCAGTAAGTGCCGATTCTTGGTTGATGTCAATGACAGGAGCAGTTTCAGAGGTTTCTTCAACTTCGTCGAGATCCATGGTCTCTTCGGTTTTCTGCTGGCGTTGGGCACGTTGCTCTCTGGTTTCACCAATCATTGCACCAGCTTGGGTTTCTTGCTCATCGCCTGCTGGTTGTTGGGCTTCAGGAAGGGCTTCGTTGTCTTCGCCATCCTTCGCATCTGGATCCTCTGCTGCTTCTGGCTCCATGTCTTCAAATGCTTCTTGGGCTTCTTGAGCACCAGAATCGATCGCCATGGACTCGTCTAAAGAGTGAGCTTGTTCTTCGGTTGCAGCACCAAGGGCCTGTGTATCAGCTTTCGTATCATCGTTGGGCAAATGTTCAAATTCGGGATCATCGATTTCCTGTTTCTGTGTTAGTTCTGAGTGGCATAGATGGATGGACATATATGTCTTACCATGTTTTCAACCTGAGGGCGCTCCTCATCTTCTTCTTTAGCGTTGAGGATTTGGCGGCGCTGTTGGTGCCACTTCTCGAGCATGTCACCAACTTTGCGGAACGACGACTCCGCTTCAGTCTGTTCATCCTTTTTGTTGGATTTTTCATCAGGGCGTTCAGACTCTTGCGCTGACGCTTGTCCAGTAGTCTCCTCTTGTGCCTGGGCTTCATCTGCTCCTTTGCCATTTGTTTCGCCGGACTTTGCATCCTCGCCGCTTTCCCTTTGAGCTGAGGTTTGTTCGTTGGCATCTTGCTCATCATTACCTCCTTCAACGCCTTGTAAGTCGCTAGGAGCAGTTTCTTCACCCTCTTTTGCGTCTTGTTCGTCGCGGGTTGTCAAGAGGCTGTCCGGTTCTGGCTCATCAGCTCCTTCCTCCTTGTTCTCTTCCTCCGGCTCCTCATCATTCTTTTCGCCTTCACCGTTCTCCTCGCCTTCATTTTCCTGTCTCTCCTCCTGGTTCTCAGTTTCTGGCTCTCCCTCTTCGCCTTGTTTCTCGGGATCGTCAAGGTCAGGGAAGCTGTCTTGCTTATCACCCTTGTCATCTTGCTTCACTTCCTCCCCTTCGTCGTCAACGTCTGAAAGATCGTCCATCTTCATATCATCCTCCTCTTCTTCTCCTCCACTCTTTTCGTCGCCATCAAGTTCCATGTCTTCTGGCAGGTCAAGTGTGTCGACTTCCGGCACATGGGCGTCTGTCTTTTCGTTATCGTCTTGCTGCCGGACGTCATCTTCCTGATCTGCGCCTTCGCCTTCACTTTCTTCACCATCCTCGTCTTCTTTGCTCTCCATTTCCTCTCCTTGTTTCTCCTTTCCGTTCTCTTTCTTTGCTTCCATATCTTCTCCTTGCTTCTGCTGGTCTTTCATACCATCTCCTTCCTTGTCACGGGCATCATCATCGGCCTCTCCGTCCCAGAGCTTTTCATCAACCGCGTCGGGATCTAGGTCATCTACATCACCGGTTTCTTCATCCATATCATCGTCCTCCTTTTCGTCACCCGAGCCCTTTTCGTCATCCTCCTTATCTGCCATATCCCCAATTTCTCCCTCCATTTCATCTTCAATGTCAATTGCATCCTTCTCGTCCTCAATTTCCTCATCTCTCTTCTCTTTATCTTTCTCCTGCGCCAACTCGGAAAGATCTTCGTCTGCTTTAATGTCTTTACTGATGTCATCTTGACCTTCACCTTCGCCGAGTCCAGTTCCGCCTTCGACATTATCTGTGTTACCGCCTTCAGGGTCGCCCTTTTCTTGGGGCATACAGAAACCCTTAGAAATCAATGTTGATGCAGAAGTACTCAGGATATAGGTGGTCTTGCAGATAGAGCGATACTGTGAAAGCGCTTCCTGTACTGTCCTGCAAGAGATTTCTGTGTACTCTTGGATGATGGGCTGATAGGCCGCGAAAAGTGCACGAACAGCTTGAGAGTTCGAAAGATCAGACTGCTGTAGTTGGGAAGTAAGGGTAATGACATCGTCAATCCTGCGTGTGATCGCGCTTGTGTGCAAAGCTTTCAGACTGCCTGAGCTTGCGGATTGATGCCGAAGGAGCCATCCAGGATCTTGGATCGAGGGAGGATAGGTTGCTTGAGCCTCTTTGAGCTGCTGGAGGGCAACAAAGATCGAGTCAGAGAGTGTCTTGAGTGATGCGTCTAAAGCTTGAAGCGTTGTAGGTTCAGACACTGCGCCATTGGTTTGTGGTTGGAGTTCCGAGGCGGTGAGAGAAACCCATGGCAATACTTGAGTTGTGGTATATGCGATCTCTGGGTTGTCACTTCTTATGGTCTTCATGCTACCCTCGATGAGGTTAAGTGTTGATTGGGCTTCTTCAAGAAGAACCTTCGCAGAACCTTCCCAGATTCCAGTGTGAACGAGGGTCTGCTTTTGGGCGGAAAATCGATCATTGACCCTATTGGCAGACTTTTGAGCGCTACTGATGAGTTCATTGGCTGTTTCGAATGTCTTGCCGCTAAACTCGGAGTGAATTGTTAGTAGTTCGGCTACTAAGCCCAATACCTTTGGAATCCATTGGAATCGTCTCTGGAGGTCGGCATAAGATTGAAGATCCTTGCTTCCATATAGGTTGGCATTCCCAATGTTAAAATTCGAGAGAGTATTGTATCTGGCCATTGAGGATTGCGCTAGTTCAAGTTCTTTCAGTGAAGACGAGATTGAAGAACGCTGGTCGAGTGATAGGGAAAGCAAGTTTTCAATGAATCCCACACTTCTTGCGACTTCTGCGCTGGTCAAGTCTGGTGAATGCTCTACGACTGCCTTTCGGATTTTTGGTAAGATCTCTGCTATGCGAAGGAAGTAGTGATTTTCAGAGTGGCCTTGGGTGCCAGTTTGGCTGTTTTCAAGAGGGTCTGCTATGGCCAGGAGACGCTCAAGGGTAGCTTGCTTGCCTAGTAGGGCAGCACTCAGGTTTGATTTGAGACCCATGTTCTTGAGTTCTTTCAGAGCATCTGCAAAGGCCTTTCGTTTCCTAGTCTTGAGATGTTTGGCAATATCCTTAGTTTCATCGTTCAGGGTTCCTGGAGTCTCGGATTGAAGTTGCTTGATTGTGGAGATAATTGAAGATGAGAAGTCTTCGATAAAGCTGATCGTCTCGGCCCGATCTTCGGGAATCTTTGCAACACGCTTCATCATCTGGACTGCTGCTGGGAGGTCTTGAAGACGTGCTGGCCTCTCGGTCCATTTCTTCACGGATTTCTCGTAGATTGCCTTGATTAATTCGAAATCGATAGACAGCTCGTTATTAGGCTCTGGTAATACTCCGTTTGTGGCAGAGTTTTCGGCAGAGCCTTCAGGCATGCCGGCCAAGATAAGCGGGGCCATTGGCTGATTGATTGCCTGGCGGTATCCTTTAACAACTCTGAAAAGCTTCTTGTGTGAGCGTTTGGCACTATCACGAAGCGCTAGGATGTTTGTGTCCTTCCAGCTGGCAAGTAAGACAACATCACTCATCGATTTTTGGTACTTCTTTCGAGACTTTGCTGTAGCTTCTTTAGCCTCGGATGCATATTGTGAGAAGTACGCGACAAGGTTGTGCAGTCCCTTCTGTACCAGATTCATGGCAAGGAACTCATCAGACAAGCGAAGAGCATGCTGCTCAAACGCGTTTAAAAGCTGCAATCTATGTGGGAACTGGGCGATCGAAGATGTCTCTATGAAAGCTACTAGGGTTGTGAGGAGTTGCTCAACATGCTCTTTCAGATTTTGACCTTCAGAGAGCAGTTGAAGAGGGTTCGCAATGGCGCTCTCATAAACGTAGAACCACCATGAGTTCGCCTCTGCACGGCACTTTTCATCTTCGATATCAAACAGGCGTGGCCATGCTGATAGCTCGATGCGGCGCCAGCTGATGATCAGTTGCGTAACAGCATCAAAGTGCTCCGCGGCGGAAAATTCAGAGCTTGCAACGCCCTGCCATTCGTTCAAATGCTCGTGCAGCTTTTCGACCTTAACCAGGGACTGTGCAATCGGAGTGGAGTTGGGGAGATCTAGGATCTCTTGGCAGACCTCCATGGCATCTTGGATAGTGACATGCTCTGGCCATGCTTCGGCTAGAACTGATAACCGCGCGTGGGCTTTCTCGACAATCACAACCAACTTCCGGGCTTGCTCTAGGTTCTCCTCGGTGTAGAAGTCATAGGTTTGGGAGGTCACTCCGTTGATCCATTGTGAGGTCTCCTTCAAAGAGAGGATAATAGCTGGTAAGAATACCTCAGTCTTTCCTGGCGAGATGCAGAAAGAGCTCTCTTCTCCTACAGATTTGACTAGAGCAGAAACACCACGTTGAATCAATGATGAGAGGCTTGTAGGTTCTGACTCTGCGGTAAGATGGATTGCGGAATGGCACTGGGCGATCTGGCAAGCAAGCTCTCGGTGCTGAGAACCGGCAGGTTTTCCCTTTTCCTTCTCTCTCTCCTCGTCATCTTCATAAGCAGGAAACATCGCGGCAAGCTCTGTCTCGTCAGCGTTTTCTTCCTCGCCTGTGTATCTGTACAAGCTTGCATTCGCGGCCGCCTCTTCTTGCTCTTTCTGGGTCTTGACTTTCCAGGCTTCGAAGAAGCCTTGTAGGATGCCATGGACGGTCTTGTTGGACGTCTGCTTAGTGTTCTCGTAGCCCTCGATGTTCTGGTGAGCTGCAATCTGCCATAGTCGCAGCAGCTTGATATCTTCCCGGTCGTCTAGCACCTGCTGGTTGAATACCTCCGGAACACTTGGCTCAATAAGAGATAACGCAAGGCTCGATTCATCTGCCTCCATAGCAGAAAGCGACAGACCCATCTTCAAGGAATACAGGAAGCCAAGGATAGGATCAACCAGATCCTTATAAAGCGGATATCCGCGGCGCAGCCTCTCAATGATCTGTGACAAATTCTTCTGGAACAATGCCTCTTCATCCCTATAACTCGCACTACGTCCCAAAATAGACGGTAGCAAACGCTCATGAGGACTCGTGTTTACAACCACTTGAAGAAGGTTAATCATATCCCCCTGGAGCTGCGTCATCTCCGACTCTGCGGGACGCACAACCAACGAGTTGGGCGGCTCTTCACCGAGGTCCGCGAGACGTTTCTCTAGCATTTGAGTCTGGGCGTTGTCTTGTTGGCCGGTGAACCTTAGCTCGAAGATCTTTTCGGCCGCAATCTTGTTGTGGAGCTCGGTCTTCCGCTTGAGGTAGCGCTCGCGCTGGACGAGGCGCTTCATTGCGGGGTCGAATGCGACATTGGGCACGTAGAGCTTCAAGCATCCGAGGGCGTAGTGGGTCCAGGCTTTTCCGGATAGTTCCAGGGCTTGTGAATATGTGAGCGCTTGTGGAATTGCAGCAAGGCAGTTGAGTACGCGGGCGAGATGTTCGTCGACTACGGATTTAAATGCGACGTCTAAAGTTGCTGTAGCTAGAGCGAGACCTTCATGGGCATTTGAACCCCCGTTGAGTGCAAGCTCTAGGTTCTCAAGCGCTGAAGTGAGCATTGTGTAATTATCGCCGCTGTACGACCCGGAATGGAGCTCAAAGATCTAGCACAATGTCAGCCGTAAACAAACCCCGCAAGATGTCCAAAAAACACGCACCTTCTTCGTATTTGATAAAAGCAGCATATTCAGCTGCAACAGTTGATCACTAGCCACCTGCTGCGTCAATTGTGTGAACTGCTTTGAAAGTGCTCCGAGTTCGATATTGAGTTTGCTGAGCTGTCCAATAAACGAGTTTTTGGCAGCTTGACCTGTGCGTAGCATCTCCAGCGTAAAGCGTCCTTGGAGTAGGCCTCGAGGGCCTGTTGAGGTAAAGTCATATTCGTAGATGTCCTCCAAAACTTGCTTGTAGGCAGTCCCTAGACCATAGTCAGTTTCCGGATATATGTTAGAGGTTCGGTAACCTACTTAGTGTTGTCTCCTGGCCCTGATATCCCAACAAACTAGCCGTAGTTCTCCCCGCAAAATGTCCGAGTGTCAAAGTATCATTAAACTGCCCCACAGTCAGCGCCAACCCAAACGACAATGCCTCTCTCATCTTATCCTTACCGATTTCTCTCCGCCCAGTGCCTTAAACTTGAGCAAATAGTCAAACACCATCCTCAACAGCGACTCCCTCGCCGCAACGCCGCTCCTCCCCGCCCTCTCCTCCAACCCCACAATCGCGCCCTCCAACCCCTCCAACTCCCCAACTTCAACTTCCGACGTCAATACCGCTGTGAGGGCCTCCATCAACGAGCTCTTCAACCCCGCTACAGTCTCAAACGAACCTGCGCCCCCCCTGTCAGCAACCCACCGACCGAGTGACACCTCGTGACGCGCCACCAAAAACTCACCTTGTAACTTCCCAACCACGGCATCAAACCTATCTGCAATCCCGCGCAAGCGGCCATACGCCTCCCAGCCCTCCACAGACGCCGGTACCGACGGCCTTAACGCGCCCCACAGCGCCTCCATCGCGAACCCCGTCGTGAGCCGCAGCGGCGCACGGAACCCGCCGAGCGCGCGCTCGGTGGCGGTCAGTATTGCTGGCGGGAGGGTGGGCGAGGAGGTGTGGATCCATGATTCGAGGAGCGAGAGGTACACGTGGAAGATGCTCTCGTTGAGGTTGTGGGTGCTGCTCAGGGCGACCATGTCACGCCATAGGGAGAGGAGCTCTGTTATGCGTGTGAGGGTGTTCTGCCTTTGTTAGTACAACAAGAAGTGGGAGGGGAAGGAGGGGGGGTGGGGTACATTGTCTGTTTCGATTGCCACTTCGGTCAGCCATGCTTCTAGGGAGCGGCGGACGGCGGTGAGGAAGGCGAATAGCGGGAGTCCCACTACGCCTGACGATGCTGATTGTGAGGAGGAGATGGTGGAGGAGGTCTTGGATTTTGACGCCGACTTCTCGAGGAAAGTCATCTCTTTCATGCGTGTTGTTGTCGAGCGCTGGAGGATGTCGGCCTCGGCGCGCTTGATGTGTAGGATCTCGCGGGCGAGGTCGTGGATCGCTGATAGGGCGATGATGGCGGAGGCATTGTTCTTTCTTGAGCCGGTGGAGAGAAGAGATGTGTTACGGATGGGGTTTAATGGCTTTATTGAGTTTCTATCAGTATATATATAGAAAGAAGAAAACAACTAGCTTTTCCCATTTTTGCACTATTCATTTCATTATGAAACCAATGATATGATTTGGTGTTATTTTTTTTCAGGAAGGGAATAGGAGGAACCCCAAATCAAGATCAAGATCAAAAGCTAACCAAATCAAACGAAAGCAAGAGCGAAGAAGAGTGAGAATAAAACACGGCACGGCCACTGACCTGTGCATCACCAAATTGCTGACCAAGGCCCAACTCGCCCGCCACAGTCCTCAAGAACTCCGCACGCAGCGCCGCCAAACGCGGATGCGCACTCATGTCTTCTACGCTACTGACTACGTCCACGACGGGGCCCACCCTGTCGGCAGCTAGATGCATCTTCCATCTCTTCAGGATGCTCATCTGGTCGCGGGGTAAATGGTCAAAGACCACCCGCAGCAGCTCATCATACACATCAGCAGCAGAATCTAAGTCAGTAGTAGAAGTAGCAGCCAGTCTGTCAACATCACTATACACCGCCATACACGCCTCCGTCGTCGTAGCATCGGCCATCCACCGGGCCTCCTCCACCCGCCTTACATCATCCTCCTGCGCGGCCGGCGGCATAGGTTCCATGACCCCCGCGTCCATATACACCTCTATTCCTCTATTTCTCATAGCTCTTGACAACTCGCCGTGGCGCGGGTCCATGGTAAGGAACAGCCTAAAGTTAGCATGCGGGCGGACGATCTTCGGCTCCCCGCTCGTGTCACTGTGCTCGTTGACGACGAGGTAGCCGTTGAGCTCGAGTAGTGAATTGAGGCGGTCGAGCACGGAGGGGCTGCACAGGTTAGCGTTGTCGAGGACGAGCCACTTACCTTGCTCAATTGCGTGGATGAGCATGCCGTCGACCCATTCAAAGCGGGCGGTGGAGGCTTGGTGCGCTTGTGAGATCAAGATCTCGCACTGTTTCATGAAGCGGGAGAATAGATCTGTTCCGGACTCGGCGGCGATGGCCGTGAGGGCGGTGTGCAGACGGTGGAGTCTCTCAATATCATATGTAGCCTCTGAGGCACCGGCATCAAACAGCCCCAACACCGCACTCCCGGGGACGAATCCACCGCGAAGTGCCTGGATCGTCGACTCACCGACGAACCGCTGCAGCTCCGCAAACAAGGCCGAGATGCTCCTTGAGATGTCCACCTGCTCAAACCCGCCGACAATATCCGTTGTATCAATGTCGTTGTTCAGCGCAATCTCGTCAAGTTCGGCGCCAGCAACACTTGCCAGCAGCTTTATGATGCTACTCTTTCCCGCGCCCGAATGACCCACGAGGATGACGGGTGTTCGCTGCTGGATTGCGGTCATGATGGTCTCGAGAGACCGCAGGTTGCGCTTTAGGAGTGTGGTCTTTTGGGTTGGTACTGGCTGGGCGTCGCTGTTTCTGGGCAGGAGGGCATGGCCGACTTGGAAGTGGTCTTTTGAGAGCTGGTGGTAGAGATGGCGCTTTGCGGGTGCGAAGCCAAATACTTGGGCAAACAGCTCGTCAACTCGGGCTCTGTCCTCGACGGTTCGGAACCGCTGCTTGATGACGATATTCACAAACTCTGACGGGTCCTGAAAAGCGAGCAGTCCCTCTGTTGTAGACAAAAGCCCAAGCCAGCGTAGTGTATCTCTCAAATTAAACTCCCACGGCCCACCTAAGCTCCCAAAGCTGCGTTTCTGCGAGACCTCGCGGTCAAGCAGAACCACAAATGTAATAACCTTCGCCACATCATCCTGCGGGATACCCGGATACAGTCTCGTCGCAATCAACTGCAAGTCCTCCAAATTCAGTGTATCAACATAAACAATCGTAAACCTATTCACAAACGACGCCGGAAGCCCCTTCCTGCCACCACCTTGATGATGCGGGTTCTGCGCCGCAAAGACACAAAACTCTGGGTGACACTTGAAGGTGCGGTCCAGCTCTGAGATGTATGCCTCCCCACGATGATCCAAGCACGCATTCAACCCCTCTAGAACCGACTGTGACGCCAGGTTCATCTCATCAAGGAGCACCCAATGTCCCCTCTGCATCGCCTGTAGGAACGGTGCGTCTCTCCATGCGAACTCCCCGCTCTGCCCGCCCTCGACGGGAACATCGGAGCCAAAGAGGTCCATCAAGTCGGTCTGCTCAGACAAGTTGATACGAGTGAGCGGGTTTCCGGACGCCGCTGCGAGGGCTGAGATTAGACTGGTTTTCCCGACACCGGGGCTGCCCTCAAGCAAGATTGGCTTCCGCAGCTGCATCGCGCGGACAACCCGCATAGCATTGACACCCGTTGTTGGCGCCTCAAGATTGAACGAGACGTCTGCGACAGAGTCGATCTTGCGTGGGAGCGAAAAGCCCCCGAGACGTAGACTGGCGTCGTCGAGTGCCATACTGAAGGGCTGGTCATAGATAGACGCCAAATCATGGCTGCTCAGCTCTGAGAGCCTCAGGATGCACTTCCGCTTCTCCTTGGCTAGGTCTTCGGCGGCAGTGGACATGAGAACCGCAGACGGGTTCGCGCCCAGTCCGTCAATGAAGACAAGCGCCGCGCCGTGCAACAGCCCGAATGCGGCGTTGTGCGGGTCGCACATGTTGATAAACCTTGCCCAGGCCAGCACATCACGGATCGAGATCGTGGAAGAAGCAAAATGATAGGTCTCTGAGAACCACTGCGCAAATTTCACAATGGTCTCTGCATGCTGCAGCGCAAATGGCGACAGCTTCGCGCGCACAATCTGAAGGACATCGTCATAGTCCGACATGGAGGGGACCCAGATTTCAGTGAAACGATTCCGCAGGGCGGGCGAGAGCTCTTTCTTGCCGTAGTCGCCGCCGGGATTCATCGTGGCCAGGAATTGGAAGCCGTCGACGGCGGTGACTGCGGACCCTTCGGGCCCCTTCTCCGCTAGCAGGATTCCACGCTGTGGTTCCAGCACGCTGTTGAGTCGCTCAAGAACGGAGTCGTCTGCGAGTGAGATTTCGTCGAGCAGGAAGAACTGCCCTTCCTTCATTGCTTGGATAAGACTGCCGTCGCTCCATTCGAATAGCGCCTTTACTCGTATCCGGTTGAGCTCAATTCGGGATCTGAGATCCTCTGGAATGTTGTTCAAGCTCTGTTTGTCCAATGCGGAATATGCCTCAAGCAACATTTGCAAGTCTGCATCTGCGTTATATTGTTCTATCGTCGAGTGATCCCTCACAACTGCCAGCAGATCCTCCACCAACTGCGCCGTATACGCAGTCCGGTTTCTGATCGGCCTCTGCGCACCAATGATATCCCCCGTCTCCGTGTTCTGGTGGGCATTCACAATATTCAACGTCTTCCCAAACGCCTCCGCCAGCAACTGCACCACCGTCGTCTTCCCGCATCCCGTCTCACCCACCAGCAGCACCGGCTCATTATTCCTCAGCGAGTGCGCAACCAGCGAGTACAGCCTTCGCATCGCCTTTGTCCACACCACGTCGCTCTCCAGCTTCATCACGAGCTGGTATTCGGGCGTCGACTCGGGCGAGTAGAGTGCCGCCTCGTCAATCTTGACCCGCATCACCTCCTCGAGCACCCTCTTCACCGCGAGTTTCTCGTCCTCTTTGCGGACGCGCTCTGCGAGGAGCATGTACCCATTGTCGGCGAGCTGCTGGTATCCAACGGCTTCGCGATTTGCCCATCGGAATAGATCACGCAGCGTTGCGAAGCTGTTTTTCTGCTCAAATAATCTAGTTGATTGTCGTAGCACCGATAGTTCCTTTAACGCGATACTGTTAGCTCCAGCGACCGCAACCGCAACCACCAATCTAGCCGCATCACAGAATATCACTCACCTTATAAACCTTTACAATCTTGGCACAATAGCTCGGCGCAATGCCGCATCTCTCGCGCAGAATCGTCTCCAGCTCCTCCTCGGGAATGTCATCAAAGTGCAACTCCAAAAATCGGTTTCTAAACGCCCTGCTGAGCACTTTACGCCCTCCGTACAGCCCGGGCGGGTTCTGTGTTGCAAAGAGCATAAACTCCTTGTGCGGCCTCACGACTTCCTGTGTTTCGGGGATCATCAACTCGCGATTGTCATCGAGAAGCCTATTGAGGGCTTCGAGAACATCGGTAGGCGCCAAGTTGAGCTCATCAAGAACGATCCAGTACCCCTTGCGCAGCGCCTCCACCAAGATTCCCTCCTGGAAGCGCAGGGTGCCCGTGTTGTCCGAGACATAGCTTCCTAGGTATTCCTGCAGATCAGTGTGTTCGTGGTTGTTAATCCTGACGAACTTGTGGCCGGTGCGTTTCGCGAGATACTCAATCATACTCGTCTTTCCGCTCGATGTCGGGCCCTGGATGAGGACCGGGAAGCGGCGGGTGGCCGTGGCACGCACAAGGTTGAGCATGTTCCGCTCGACGAAGGGCGTTATGATATAGTGCGGCTGCTCCTCCACCTCTTGGGTTCCGCGCGCCATCCAGTAGTGTTTAAACTGCACATAATCCTCTCCATTTGCGCCGACAGGCCTTCTCGGGATCTGCGAGACGAGACTCCGAACGTTCCTCTGGTTCCCCAGAATGAACTTCTCGATCACCGGCAGCAGCACGGCTTCGGAAGTGCGGTCAAGTAGGGTGAGAAAGCTCATACAGAAGCCTTCATACAGACTTCTGCGCAGACCGTACACCCCCGCAATCTCGACTACGTAACTGAGCGTCCTCGTGAGGGTTCTCATGCTGAAATGCGGTCTCTGGTTCGCACCGTCTACGAGTCTCTGTCCCTCTGAGAGCTTTTTCGCCTCCATGTAGAGCCCCGCAACGTCTGCAACAGCTCTCTCATCCCCGGCAACAAGCGGTCCAAGGTACTCCCTCACAATCGCTAACAGGTTCCCTAAGTCTTGGTCCGGCGAGACTACATAGAGCTCCGTGAACCTACTGCGCAGCCCGCTCGGGAGATCACGTTTTCCAACATCGGTAGCGGGGTTCATACAGGCAAAGATGCGAAAGTCCGGATGCGCCTTCACTCTCTCTACGTCGCCCTTCTCCGAGAGTAGGATGCTCCTGACATCGCCGTCCTTTCCATCCTTGAGCAGATCTGCAATACTCTCCAATGTGTCTGGTGCTGCCAAATTTATTTCGTCAAGAAGCACCCAGTCCCCGTTTCGGGCGGCCTTAACCAGACTTCCCTCTACGAAGCTGAATGCGAAGCTCTTACTGATCTGTGAGCTTTGTCTCTCTAGTGTTGCGACATCACTCGCGAACCGCGTCCATTGTGCTTGCAGAGCGGGCTTATCCATTGAATCTATCTTCCTCTTCTTCTTTGGCTGGTCCTCGCCGTCCTGGGCCTCTGGCGTCGGAGCGGCAAAGAACTGGTCCGCCATCTTCACGGCCTCGCCCCAGAGGGTGATGACTCTATTCCACTGCTGTTTTCCCCAACACTTCGCCAGCACCTCCAAGAAGCGTTTATTCCTCTTCAGCGAGAACGTCTTCTCAAACAGCTCCTCAAACACCTCCTTCAGCGGGACCGCAAGCGTGCGCACATCCACCGGTTTATACCCGCCCAACAGATCCCCGCTCTCCGTCTGCTGCGACAGATTCATCACCGTGAGCCCATACCCCAACAGATCCGCCATCTGCTGCACCACCGTCGTCTTCCCCGTCCCCGTCTCGCCAACCAACAACACGGGCTCCCCGCCGCGCACTGCAACTCCGACCTGCTCCAGCAGCCGCAACGCATGGTTCGTCGTCGCAAACGGCCGCTTCTGCGCCTGCGCGCGCTTGCTGCGCTTGCGTTTCTTGAGCCTTGCGCGCCCGATGGCTAGCGTCTTGTCGCTGGCGTTGTACGCCGGGATGTGCCCGTTCAGGAAGAGGTCTACGCGCTGCGGCGGGATCAGCATCTCGTCTGCAATTTTGCGGATCACGAGGTGGCGCGCATCGAGGGTCTGCAGGGACCCGGCGAAGCAGTCGACGGCTTCCATGAAGATCTCGTCGTACAGGCCGTCGGGGATGACTTCGCCGTTGGAGCCGGCAGAGGTGAAGAGGGCGTCGATTCGGGTGGCCCATTTTATCAGGTCCCTTGGCGAGATCTGGCGGCCGAGGGATGTCTTGCTGAGCGCGAAGAATGAGGGCTCGCGGTAGTGGTGCTGGATGGTATTGTAGACGCGCAGGAGTGATGGTGCGACAGCGGTCAGAGCGGGGAAGCGGACGGTGACGATTGTGTACAGCTCGGTCTCGTCCGGTTGCTTATAGTCCACACGGTTCCAGAGACGGCTACCGAGGATGTGCAGTGAATCCTGTTTCGTACTGTTAGTAGTGCTAGCGGTCCTCATAGTCGCAATAAGCCGGAACCCGCGCGCAGCAACTATCGTCTCCCCACGACTCGGGATCACGAGCTCGCCGCGCTCCATGAGCGGGAGGAGGACCGAGAGGACCTCTGTCGGCGCTTTGTCAATGTCCTCGACAAGGACCCATCTTCCCTCTTTCACGGCGGTCGTCAAGACGCCCGGACGCCATTCGAACGAGCCGGGGGTGTCGGCGGTGGTGTATGCGCCCACCAGCAGCTTTGCGTCTGTCTGGTCACCGAGATGGATCGAGATTAGGGTGTTGAGTGTGTTGAGTGTGTGTGCAATCTGGTGGACGAGGAAGGTCTTTCCGGAGCCGGCAGGGCCGGTGATGAGGGTTGGGGAGGAGGAGCGCAGGGAGACGGCCGTGGCATGGATGTTGTGGCGGGTGATGGGGGTATCAATTATTTTAGAGGGTGTTGAGGGGGGCCCGCGGAGGCGGGGTGTGAGGATGCCGCAGAGGTCGGCGGTCAGTGGTGATAGTGCGTCTGTGGGGATTATTCTGCGCTCTGAGGTTGGTGAGAGGGTCTGTAGTTTTGCGTTTAGCACTTCTTGGGATAGTTTTTCGAGGCGTTTGTTCTCCATGAGACTGTGATTTATCCCGCCAGTTAGTCGATCTGTAAATAAAGATAATTGCAGAAAGGAAAGACCTACACCAAAAACCCGTAATCCATCTCCTTCCCCTCCCAGACACCAATCACTTTTTCCTCTGCCTCATTGCCCACGCCATACTGCGCAAACATCTTCTCCCTCGTCGAGTCCGACGCCTTGAGAAATATACACATAACCCTCACCGCCAAATACCTCACCGCGGGCTCTTTATGCCTCAGCAGCGGCGCCACGCTCTCCATCTGTACCAACCTCACAAAGCTCTCCCTCCTAAACACTAGCAATCTCCACAGCGCCAGCAGCACTTCCAGACCATCTTCCAGCGCAATTGACCCCGGGGTCAGAAACTCTTCCGCTACATCCGCCAGATACGGCGCCAGCGGCAGCACCCGCGCAAACGCACATGCGATTTCCGATGCCGTTGTGGTTGTGTCGCGCCATCTGGCGCAGAGGTCGGGAAAGAGCGGCTCGTAGCTGGAAAAGACATGGGCGGTGAGGTCGGGGCGGAGCGCGAGGCGCGAGAGTGTGCTGAGGTAGAGTTGTGTGCTTGTGGTGCGGGAGCTGAGGAGCGCAATTGTGTCGGGGGGGAGGAGGCCGGAGGCCGTGGAGAGGAAGTGGGCATCGGAGACAGTGTAGTCCATGATTTGGGGGGACAAATTAGAGGTTTTTCTTCAATTGGAGGTTTATTTCAGGTGGTTTGTAGTTGCCCTTTTGTGGGCTGTGAATGGGGTGTGTTTGTGGTGATAATTGGTATTTGGTATTTGTGTGAGAGCAGGAAAGAACGACTGGGAAAAAAAAAACTTTCGTGGGGTGTGCAGGGTGAGGCTCTGTGTGTGAGAATCTGCAAGTGCCCCTCGGTCGGTCTTGGCGCGCCGGGATAAGAGAATATTACGGAGAAGAGAAATACTTCTATTATGGATATTATTAGCTTTCAGTGCCCGTGGGAGTCTGGATACTGCACTGCAGGTTTAGCTAGGAAATACCAGAGCATACCCCCTTTTCGGAATCAACTTCTGTCAAGCCATTATCCGCCATTGGGTGTTGAAAAAGTAGGGCGAGATCGATAGTTAAATGGCTTTCTTACCTATGGTCACGGATCGGACAAGTGTCGACATGACAGAGACAGCTCTCGACATGGAAATGACAGGTGCCGACATGACAGGTCCGGACAGCTTACCTTTACGGGTTCGACATCATTTGAAAAGTCAAATATCCAACATTGGCCAACAACGTTGCCCGAGTGATAATCCATGATTGAGCCATATCATGACTCCCGGGCAAGCTAGGGCTGTGATGTGCTAGAGTTTCTTATCATCCGAAACGCGTTTTTGCAAGAACTTTTTATTCTTTGACGATCTAGTAGGCTCCGATCTTCCGCTAGAAACAGGTAAAACAATTAAAGCACATCACTACTAATATTTACAAGTAACTACATGTATTTTTGATATCACTCGCGCTCACAAGTACAGCTACATTAGGCTAAAATTTACAACGAACAAGCCAATGCCCAGGAAAAAGAAAAAAACAAGTAAAAATGCGAATTGAAATGAGCCATCCTTATTTCCCACGCACCCTTTTTGAAATAAATCCTCTACAAGTCCCCCCCGTTCCCCAACTTAATGCCTCGCCTCCACAGCCTTTATTACACCCTCCACCACCGTCCCATCCGGCAAAGCCAGCTCATGCATCTGATCACCGTCCTTCCAAGCCTTCAACATATCATTTGACTCCTTCGGCTTAACAGCTGACGAGGACGTTCCCAGCGTAATATGATTGACCAGGTTCGATGTCACAATCGACTGATCGGGAATGCTGACCGTAATCGCCATCAACTTCCCGTTCCAGATAATCTTCTCGAGCGTAACCTTAGTAACGCCCATATTACCGCGCCCCAGACACCCCGCGAGCCTCTTCTCATACGCCTCCCAAACCTGCGGATATGTTTTGAAGTTTGCGCGGTGGGCCAAGGTGACGTGGAACGCCGGCTGGATACGGCCTTTGCTGCAAAGGGACTTGTAGAACCAGTCATCGCCGTCCGATTGTGTTGCAAAGGCGTTTTCAACAATGGTGTTGATCTGGGCGGCGGGGACGCTGATGGAAAAGTATTCGATCGGTTTTGCTTTGTGCTTTGGAGGGCCCTGCTGGTTTCCCTGGTTCTGCCCCTGGTTCTGCCCCTGGTTCTGCCCCTGGTTCTGCCCCTGGTTCTTCTGGGCCTGCTGCTGTTGTTTGGGGCGGCGGTCAACAGAGTACTCCTTCATCGCAGACTGGATAGCCGCGTCGTATTCTTCGGAGGTAGGGAGTTTATCAATGATGTTCGGGTATGTCTCTTTCAGGAACTTGACAACGATCTCCAGGTTGGCCCTCGACTCAACTTCGGGGTCGAGGTCAATGTAAGAATCAAAATGGTCATCTGGGGGAGATTGGGTATCGAGGGGTTCGAATCGGTTGAGGAAGCCCTGCATGATACCATCCAGCTCTTGCCTAGGAAGCTTGCTTGCATCAATTGTTTGATGGTTATCCCCGCGGTTAAGAACACGGGCTGCTGTAGTAGCCATAATGCGCTTCTTGAGATTCCAAGGATCCATTTCTGGACGGTCATGAACATAGTGCAGAGCGACATAGCGTGCGGCGGGAGTGGCGCCAGTAACATCGGCAAAGATCTGGTCCCGCTCTCTTTTCTGGTGATTGTTCCTGTCGGCGATGACGACCGGCTTCTTAAATAACTCCATTGAGATTGCCGACGCAAATTTGGCCCCACGGTTTCCCCTCCCAGCGATATTGTCGTTCTGGATATGGCCCCATCCAAATAGTTTTGAGAGCGCTACAGCTAGGGTGGTTTTCCCGCAGCCAATGGTCGCGATGGGGACAAGACAGAGGTTTGATTTGATGCTTTCTCGTTCGGCCTTTTGGCCCTCTGCTTCCTGCCTGATAATATCGCTTCCCTTGATGCCTTGGTGAGCAAGGAATGCGTTCCGGAGGCTGATGATACCATGGTTTTGCACATACTTCTGTTGCGCCTCGGGGTTCTCCTTGAAGTACTTTGCCGCGAAGGAAAGATACTGCTTTGTGATCTTCTCATGGTCTCTGATCCTGGGAGCCTTGCCTTTGATCATCCCCTTTGTACACTCCCGCCATTGACGATACATGAGGTATGGCTCATCGAACTTGTACTTGAAGAACCAGTCCGGCCAGTTATCATTCTCCGGGCCATCGCGGGCCTTGCAGCGGATCACAAAGCCCTCCACGTCCTTTCCATCCCACGATCCTGTCTCTGCAGCCTCTTCTAGAAACTCCCTCAAGCTTTCCACATCTTGCTTTGTGAAAAAGTCAATCATCTTGAACCCCCACTTGTCTGCGAACGCCTTGACCTCCGTCGCCGGATATGTTGCAAACTCAGGGAGGTTCAGGTTGATCCCGTGGAGGTACAGCCCCGCTCTGTCACCCTCATAGGCCAGAACATGTTCCTCGAAGCTATCGTCACACAGCTCCGCCACCGCCGTAGCATTCGCATCCCTCAGCGCCTTCGCCAGATCCCTCCTCATCTTGCCCACACTCGCCAGATGCTTATCCACCCACTTCTCTCCAACCACTGCATGCGAGAGATCCACATCATCCCTCGCCCCCGTCGAGTGCTTACTGCAAACCAGGAGATTCCCATCCGGCAGCCCACTGATGAAAATAATGCATCCATTCTCCTTGACCGTGACCTCGTAGGGCCCCTTTGTATTCTTCTCGATCCACGACCACTTTGTGCGGTGGACCTCGTCGATGTTGAAGAACTTGTCGTAGCCGCGGATGACGATCTCGTCGGTCTTGGTGTTGGGGTCATGGTATGTGAAGAGCCCGCGCGCGTACGTGGGGAGGTCCCGCCTCTTGTAGTCCCATTCCCGGAACTTCCATGAGTCGACCGAGATGTCGTTGGTGCCGGCGATGGGGAATGTGGATTGCTTGCAGGAGTAGCCGCAGTTAGCTTTGGAAGCACTGCGGAGGTTATTGATCACTTTTGTGACCCCGACAGGGTCCTGTGGGGTGTAGGGGGCGGTCGTGGAAGCCATTGTTCTGGTGGGTTGTGACTTTGACTTTGCTCTTGCGTTGGTGGAGTAGCTGGTGGGGGAAAGAAGATGAGGGTGCAAAAGAGGGGTGAGGTTGTTCCGACACGAGAATGAATTCGCTGCTTGTAGAGAATAGACGGGTGCGTGCCTCCCGATACACAAAGCCAGGAGTACATGTAGTTGATGAAGGCTCTTATATACTTGTGCTTTGAAGCTCGATATACATCTGCGAAGCACTGCCGGGTGGTAGTAGTAGGGGTTTGGCGGGCAGCGGCGCAGGGCTACAACCCCGTCGCATGAGATGACTCGAGTGAACATCGTCTAACACACCGAGTCAATTGATTCATATGTACTCATGCGTTTATTAAATGGTCGGAATACTTAGTAGGGATTTGGTTGCAACGATATCCGACCATTTAATGAACGCCCGAGTACTCATTTATTTTTTGTTACTTCTACTTTAGATATATCTGCACTTCTTTGGGAACCAACCTCATTGCTTGGTTGAAAAGCTGAGGTCTTGACTGCCTCATGACGTATGTGGGTGGCTAACTACCCCGATTTCGGACTGAAATATTTGCCTGTATATCAACATCTGCATCTACAGTTTATCTACTTAGAGAGTGACCGTACATCGTCGATTACAACCCTACTTCCTACACATTATTTCTGCGTTGTCATCGCTTCCGCCCTGGATGCCTTATATCGCAAGGCTGATTGTGCCGCAGCCTTACTAGGCGCAGGTACACACTATACATGTAGGTACATACCTAGGAATCTACCGATAGCACATACCCGCGCAAGCACCGGGCTCTTTGGCTAGCTACTACGGACAGCTAACGTCGAGCTGAATCTGGGGGTAGTAATAGTCCACCCAGTGGTTTCAGAGACTATCAGAAGTATGACTCCCGACCCCCGGTACCGATCATGTCTCATCACTCGTATATTCCTAGGCCTAGTGGAATCACCACAACAGTGGTTACTCCACAGAACGAGGCCTAGGTGTCTGGGGTACTTATGGCATAAGGCTGTAAATAACAACAAACCCCTCAGGAATCCACTAAAAACCAAGGCTTGCCAGTAAATCGCTTAAAAGAAAACCCAATCTACGATTACTCTACATACGCTGGAAGAATTAAGAAGATCGAGCCAAATCCCGTTCTATAGTGGGGTATCTTTTCAGCCCCCAGCTCTAGACCCATAGCTTTCGACACGTGTAGGAGCACACTCTTAGTCACAACGGGGAAATTCGGGGAAAGACCGAATCCCCCATATCATTCGGTGCCATATCGTTGATACATACAGTATGTTGCTCGCATTGTCTAGTGTTTAAAATCCCAGGCAGTGAATCGATCTTTAGTTTATGTATTACTCACATTATTCAATCGTGCCAGTACAGAAAATCTTCGATGAGGCCGGGTGCTGAATGGTATGATAACGATCTTTAACTTATAAATTCAGAAGCTTGGAATGTAAAGTGTTCGTGGACTTGGGAACTCATCTGGCTTTCTAAAGGTTTTATAGAGCTGTTAGCTGAGCTGGGCCGGAGAGAATTATCAAACTGATTGCGGACTAGATAAATACTCCAATTGGTACAGTTTTTGATCGAATTGTCCTTGAATGTAATTGCGTGTAGGTAAGTCGCTGTCAGACCATGTATTCAGCTTCTGATGCATGTGGTAACTTACGATACGCAGTACGAAAGGCGGGAATGGATTGGTGAAACGATCTTCTCTAGTGCGCTGTTCTAATGGTTTACCTTGTTTTTCATACTATAATAGGCCGAGTTCAAATAAACGGCTTTAAACTACATCCTGACGGTATAGTACTACATGTATGTACATAGAGTACATGTAGTCAAGATTCATTCTCGCTACATGTAGGTATCAGTTGACCAATCATTATCTGAAAAACAATTGGTTGGTTACAGCCAACATTGAGAATCCGATTTAGCAGCCTTACAGCTAGGTACATGTAGCTAGTACTTAGGGTGCGTTCGGGAACAGCTTGAAAACGGAGTTTTCAAGGGTCAAAACGGAGTTTTGAGGGAAACTCCGTTTGCTGAAAAGTGAGTCCCACTCCAATACTCCGTTTTGATGAGATAACGGAGTTTCAACAGAGAAATCTCCGTTAAGTTGAGAAGTAGGTAGGTCCTACTTTTCAAATCTCCGTTAACACTCTCTCATCTACTATCACGAAAAACATTTACAGTGAAGAATATATATATTCGTTCTGTTATGCTATTAGCGAATTTTTTTACATAATAGTAAAAAAAAAAAATATTATTGTAACCAAAAAGGCGTTTCGCCTAATCAGTGGTGCCGAACGCACAAGTTTTCAGGTTAACGGTGTTTTGCTAAAACGGAGTTTTCACTTGGAAATTCGATAATGTAACTACATATATGGAATTAAGTCGTGATATAAACATTGCAAAAACTAAAAAGTGTCTAGCTACGACTAGGTGATTTATTATGGATTAGGTGGTAGTAAAATCGCGAGGAGCTACATTCAGTTGAGTTCAGGCTTGACATGACGGCCTAGGAATACAACCAATCGCATACTTATGCATGCCCCCCCGGTACTTGTCCTCAACCCTGATAACTTTTTAAGGCTGAGCTCAACATCACTACATGTATTAACACAGCCCTCTTCGTACTTCACCGAATCCTAGTTTTCCTCTATTCTAGATTTTATCTGCGTAAAATACAACATCATGGCCGAATTATTTGGACTCGTGGTCAATATTGCTACTGCGATCGACCTCGCGGGGAAATTAGCAAATTTAGGATATGACTATATAGACGGGGCGATGAATGCATCGAACCATACTGAAAGACTAGTTGAAGAGCTCAACTCACTTGTTCACGTTCTACGTATCTAAACTATATAGTCTTCCTCATCGTCACCAGGAACATTTTCTATTGGTTGCGTACTATTTCTAATATTAGTTGCATATCATTAGACAAAGAACTACTCCCGAGATGGAAGGGAACTGGCATTATATTAAAAGGCGTGTAGCTATTGCAATTGATGGATATAAATGAACAAACACTGACAGAACTACAGCTATATATATTTTTATATATCAAGGTCGAATTTCCCTGATAGCATTTTATCATGAACTACATGTACATACTAAAGCTACTCATTGAATGACTTAGAGTGCATACTAGAGCTAATATATCACAGATTACCTATTAGGAGAGATGGAGTTGAGGTTTAGTGCGTGTCTGTACTTTTGGATGACCCAATAATCCAGAATGACAGCAATAATCTAAGAAATTACTATCGTAGTACCGCGCACCTTCATTTCCTCACTACATTTGGGCGGCCGGAGGCCGCACTCCGCTTGTACTACAGAATATAGTCAAGAACGATCCGGAACTCGAATTTACAGCGCCACAAGGACTCAACGGCCAGAAAGGACTACTTGAAAGATGTGTCTGGAACCTGACATCGCTACAGCTCAAACTACAGCCCAAGGATGGATGGAGAGAGAAAATGAAGGAAAAGGAAACCTATGAGCATATATCGCGGATAGAGAGGGATAAGAGTCTCTTCAAACTGGGTTTAAATTTAGAACTCGATCACGCGTTAGTAATCTATAGTAAATTATATCCGCTTTGTTGGTACAAATGTCCAGCAACACTAACTTCATTCAGGCTTCTATCCAAAGGAATAGAAAAGCATGTGAAGGAAATCGAAAGGATGCTAAGGATACGAAAGACCTTGTCCGGGTCCAGACGGCAGCACTGGATTCATTTATGTCCAAGATGGAAAGTGATCAACTCACAAAACAACGAAATGAAATTCTCCAGTGGCTCTACCCCGAAGACCCTCGTTTAAAGCACATTGAGATTAGCGGTCAAAGGCACGCCGGAACTGGGGAATGGCTTTTTGAAAAACCCGAATTCAAGAACTGGATTAAAGAGTAACCCGATTTCTTCCTGCTTTGTGGTTATGGAGTTGGTAAGAACTCGGGGTTTTCTTATTAATTCCGTAGGAGTGTTGGTGCTCAGGTCCAATCGCTGCTGAACCCTCCGATGTGTTGAAAATATTGTTTTATTTTTAAAACAATATAATTCTCTGAAGATACATTAATTGTGGTTTTTGAACTTGAGTACGTGCACCTTGTTTGGTTTCCCCGGTGGTTTTCCCGGTGGCTTTCCCGGTGGCTTTCCCGGTAGCTTTCCCGTTGGTTTATGAACGAGCATATATATAGTTTGAGTAGGGAAAACGTTTTTAAGGTATTTCTAAACCGCTTGCGAGATTCTCAGATGCAGTAACTTAAAATATGGTGTATATATAGCTCCACTGTGATCGATTATCCCCAGTCCCAATCATTTGCTTCGAGCTCAAACTGTGCTGCCGCATATATATACCTGGATTATGCAGATAGAGAGCACCAAAAGCCTATCAACATTCTTACCAGTTTACTTAAGCAGTTGATCAATAACCAAGGGGCATCCAAAAATCTAGAGGTAACTGAACTCTATGAAGAATTAAAACCTAAAGGAGTGCACCCACTAGTTGAGCAATTACGCACTGCTCTAATTATAGCATCTAAGTTCTTCAATCGAACCTTTATCATTTTCGACGCCTTAGATGAATGTGACCAAGGCGACCAGCGAAAGGAACTTTTACCTTTGTTTCTTGATCTGGCGAAAGAAGGTGTCAGTGTCTTTTTCACCAGCCGGCCACACCCAGAAGACCTCCAAGTCTTTCTCGAGGCCAATGCGGTGACTAAGGTGAAAATTTCTGCTCAAGATAATGACATTGAGTTATATATACAGCAGATAATAAACGATAACCCATGTGCAAAGCGGCTCGTCCAAAAGAGTAACTACAAAAATGATATTATCTCTGCACTGAAATCTTGTGCCAAAGGAATATATGCTATATACTCCCTTGTTTTCTACTAGGAGTAGTGTTGGGCATGAGCCGAGCTGGATCGAGCTTTGGGCTCGACCTTTAGGCTCGAACACCTCGAGCTCTCCTTCACACGAGTCCAAGCCAGCTCGGAGCAATATTGGAAAATCTCGAGCTTAGGCTCGAGCCTTTGGACTATTATTAATGGGTTGATTTATATGGCAAAATTGGATAATTTAACAAAGATAAATCCTCCGAGTTCGTTCTTAAAAATGAAAAGTATATCGAGATGACTATTTTTAACTACATGTACATGTATATTAATGAGAGCTCGAGCCTAAGCTCGAGCCATACTCCAGGGCTCGAACATTCCGAGCCTTCGTTGGGCGCACAATCCGAGCCAGCTCGAGCTCTAGGTGTGGCCCGCCTCGAACAGGCTCGTGCCCAACACTAACTAGGAGTTGAACAGACATGTAGTTACATTAATTTACATCAAAACGCCATAGGTTTCTGCTAGTTCGATTTCACATAGAACATATATTTCAGCAGCCTACCATACTGCATATCCGCAAAGAACTAGACAAACTCCTGCAGAGTGGTGCAAAAACCTCTATCACGGACTTCCAGGGTAATTATAATACAGCACTCCATCTAGCAGTGGAGAGGGAATTTGTCGAAATTGTCCAACTACTTCTCCGAAGGGATTCAGATACGTATACCTCTATCACGAACTCCCGGGGTAATACAGCACTCCATGTAGTAGTTAAAACTGGTAGTGTTGAAATCATAAAATTACTTCTCAAAGGCGGGGCAGACATATCTAGCTATTAAAGATAATAGATGGAGAATAGCACGCCAACTGGTGGCCTCCTTGCCTAATTCATCAAGTTTCGATTTATTATTCCGCGAAATCGAATCGAATCGTTCTTTTAAGCAGCAAAACCCGGAAAACTGTACAAGACGATGGTGGCGAAGAAATCTCCACCCATGATATTACCGATTTAGGGGATCACGAGGACCGGCACGAGCGGCCGAGAACAGAGCAAAACGACCACGGCGAGGTTCACGACAATCATATCTTCAAAGTGCCTCGGACTGACTAAGATATGTAAATAAGATCTTTGGTAAGTTTGTCAATTTTCTAGCATACCATTTAACCATTATTAAGCTTATAGTTCTTTTATTAATTCTTCATTATATGTACGTACATGTGCATGTAGCGATATATATCCATACCAAGACTTAGCAACCTTTCGATTCGAGCGCGCGCCTTAAGCTTGTGGATTTTTGGAAATTCGAAATTAGGGCCTGTTCGGTTGACACAAAAATCTATAGATTAGTTGCAATCCATAGCCAATTAGGCTCAATAAAATAATTACAGTCGACTCTCCATATAAAGGTACCCTCTATAAAAATACTCGCCCTATAAGAGCCCGGTCCGCAGGCTACTTTTTTTAGTATGTAGTGTTAAGGGTAAATGCTCATATTTTCGCTATAAGAATACCCTTAGTACATTTTCTCATTTTTTGGTGTGTTACCCTTATATAGAGAGAGTGATTTTTCAATGGAAGTTGAGACCGTTCACCCTCAAAAAGTGAAAAATGTTCTGCTAACAACACTGAAAGTTGCACTGCCAAAAACTGAAAGTTCCGTCGCCAAGGAGTGATGGTTTAGCCGGCAAAGGTCAAGTTCTGCGAACTTCCCACTCTACCAAATTTAGTGTTGCGCGAACCCTTCACCGCAACTAATCCATGGATTTTTGTGTCAACCAAACAGGCCCTTAGTTTTATTGAAACTGTCAGCTATTTTATTTTTGGTCTTACTACTATATATATATATATCGGTTCAGTCTGTGTAATTTGACTTAATTAACCTTTTTATTCAACCTTTCCTTTATGGGGCGGTAAATGAGTCAAAAGTAATTTTACCAACGGTAGTAAATTATTTTACCACCGGTAGTGAAAGTAATACCAGTATTTATACCCTATTATGCTAATTTTTACAGACCTTTTAGCCAAAAGGAGCCATATAATGCCGATATATATGAAAATTGTCCACCGGTGGGAGATTTTCATAAGTTTTGGCATTAATGATTGAACATTTACTTATTTAGTATAGCGCAGCATAAAGACCGAAACCCAGTGTTTATACTGGTGGGGAACGTACTAATGTAGGATAGCGTGCAGACACAATGACTGAGATTCAGTTCTTATACCACCGGTGGTAAATAATTTACTACCGTTGGTAAAACTACTTTTGACACATTTACCGCTCCATATTCCTTTCCTTTTCTTTAGCATGATATATGCGCAGCTAGAGTTCGAGTTTTAGATTTCATTATGGGCAAAGATATTTCTTTTAGTTGTCTTTATTGCTGAATTTTGCTTTATCTTTTTTCTCTTTAGTTTCCTCCTAATTTGTTGTTATGGGTATAATTGCCCTGCGAGTGCTCAACTGTGATTCCACCAAATAGCAGCACCAGTGATCACCAACCCTACATTCTCCATTCAAGACAACTGATACCACAATAATTGCTGGGTCGCTCTTCACAACTTCAAATACTAAATACCTGCAATTTATAATCCAACCATCTAGCAGCTTGCAGGTACATCTTAATAATCATTAAATATTACTAGAACGTCCGAAAGCATTTCTAAGCTGTCTTAGCCAAGCATTGCCCTCCTCCCCACCAAAAAAAAAAGTAGAAGAGAGCCTCAACCCCGCCATCTAAGTCCACCCACAACCAACCAAAACTAGAACCACCGCAACCAACCCCTCTCATACCCACATAGCACAATGGCCGTTTCAGCTACAGACTCCACACCAGATCATCCCGAAGATGAACCCCAAATGCTCAACCCCGACGAAGCAGCCGAAGAGATCCCCGAGGATGCCGACGGCGACATTCCCATGGACTCGGACGACGAGAACGCAGAATACGACGCCGAGGCCGAGGAGCTAGAGATAACAAATGATTCAAAGGCGTATTTCGACAAACACTCAGATAGCATCTTCTCTATCGCTGCACATCCTTCCGACCCGTCGATATTCCTGACCGGGGGTGGCGATGATGTCGCCTACATCTGGACTCCCGACATGCCCGCAAATGCAGAAGACGCAAATATTACCCCTCGGGAATCAAAAACAATTGTGCAGCTGTCAGGTCACAAAGATTCCGTCTCGGCTGCCGTGTTCACCAACCCCGACGGTTCATATGCTGTTACTGGTGGGCTTGACGGGAAAATCCAAGTCTACGCGCAAGCCGAGAATTGGAAGAAAACCGCAGAAGCGCAAGAGGTCGAGGAAATCAACTGGATTCAACCACACCCCACGGCGCCTCTATTTGCTCTTGGTGCAAACGATGGGAGCGTATGGATCTATTCCCTGGAGACTGAGGGCCTGGAGATCAAGCAAGCGCTTTACTCACACACCGCTTCTTGCTCTGCGGGGGCTTGGACTTCTGACGGAAAGATACTCTGCACAGTCTCCGAAGATGGCTCTTTCTACGCGTGGGAAACTGACTCCGGGCGGGCAGTGGTCGCGCTCACGAATGCGGACCAGCGCTTTGCCGTCGAAGGCGGGCTCTACTCCGTCACCGTCTCCCCGTCGGGTGCGGTCGCGGTTGTCGGTGGTGCAACTGGTGAAATGCGTGTCGTTGGGCTCCCATCATCTACACAGGCCGCATCTGGAGCACAAAGAAGAGGTGCTGGGCGGCCTCAAGCTGGTGGTGGAGGTTCCACCGGTGGTGGCCAAGTCGGACAGATCATAGCATCACTACATACCCATTCTGAGTCTGTCGAGTCACTGTGCTTCCACCCTACTCAACCACTTCTTGCCTCCGCGGGCGTCGACGGCAAGATTGTGATCTACGATGCGGCGAGGGGTTTCCCAGTGAGGAGGACCTTGGAGGATGGACACAAGGAAGCTGTTGTAAAGGTTGAGTTTGTCAAAACTGACGGATGGATTCTCACTTCATGTGGTATCGATGGGACCCTGCGAAGATGGGATGTCAGGGCTGGAACCGAGTTGGGCTGCTGGAAGGGCCATTTGGGAGGCAATCAGAGCG